AGAAGCCGACACAGTTAGTCCAGACTCACTTGGGTTGTGTTTCCTGAGACCTCTCTCTGACCCATATACCTTCTTCCACGTGACCCCCTTTGCAAGTAATTTATGGTTTTGGGGTTGGCCATGTGGACCATGTGGTTTGCCTGTGGCCCTAACAATGAAAGAAATACAGGAAATAAAGAAGGTAGGTTTAGATGACAAATTTTTTCCCGTCCCACATCAGTGACATTAGCATTCAATCACAGGCTCTCTAGTCTTCTCCTATCTCAGTCCAGAACCACGAGGCTGTCACCACTGAGGAAAGTCCAGAGAGGGGCGGGGACAGGCCAGGATCGCACAGCCAGTGTTCGGGATTATTGCCAGCCTGGGAAGCCAGTGTCCAGCCCAAGTCCCGAAGCCTGCACCGTGGTAGTCTCGTCTTCACACAGCTGGGTTCAGCTTTGGTTTCTGTCTTTTCTCTGGAAGTGGGACAAAGAAACCCAGAGCCAAGAAGCTGCCAGGGCTGGTCCCAAGCCCCAGGAGGCTGGGAACCAAAGGTCCACACCCATGTAAACACAGAGCAGCTCTGATACCTCTTACTTGGCACTTACCAGCTTCCTCCAAATCAGTTCTCGACTATTATCTTGCTTATCCCCACTGGTCCCCTGGGAGCCAGGGAGTGGCAGAGAGTATTAGCCTCACTTCAGAACTGTTAGAAACTCAGCAGCAGGGAAGGCAGTAATTTGCCCCAAGTCACCCAACAAGTAAGGATGGGGCTGGACCTAGAGACCAAATCTTCTAGGCTGTGTGTGTATGTATGCGTGCATGCATGCGTGTGTATGCGTGTGCATGTCGTGTGTGTGTGTGTCCGTGTGTATGCGTGTGCATGTCGTGTGTGTGTGTGTGTGTGTGTGTGTGTGTGTGTGTGTGTGTGTGTGCTATTGGTGAGGGTAAGGATCAGCAAAGAATGTAGCCTACTGGCTGGCAAAGGGGGTAGTGGGTTGTGCACACGGTCTCCAGAATAAAGGGCCTCCTGTTATACAAGGAGATCTCAACACAGCACTGCTGGAGGGACAGACAGCTACTGAGAATGCTGTGCTAGCTGATCCCAGCTAGAGGGGAGGCCAGGCGGAAACCGTGGAGTCTAATCACAAGGAACATAGGCCTGAAGGAGGAAGCAATAACAACAGGTGTCCCTGTGTGGGGTCCAGCTCCCTGCTTTCCAGTTCCAACAGGCCCCTGGGAATTCTTAAGCTCACACAGGACCCGAACACTTTCCTGATGCCCCTCGATGCTGGGGTCCAGGATTGGGGAGAGGCATCTGGACACCTGGGGAGATAGGCATACTGTAGCAGGTAGGGGTCAAAGAGGCATGGAGTTGACGATGATAATGACGACGATGATGACGATGGAGTCCATCTTCCAGAGGGGGTACAAGTAGGTTACTGAACAGCCAGGCTGTTATCCAAGGCCCTATAGCCTGAAATGAGTCCTACCATCACCCGAGCTCTTGACCCATCCTCAGCTTCAGTTTGAAAAGAGCCCTAAAAACATTCCGGCAGCCGAGCAGATAGTTCCGTGATTCCATCTGTGTTCTCACCCTCTCCCCGCTGCCTCCCTCCCTTTACTCCCCAGCCTAGGACAACCCAGACTCTCAGAACCCTGGCCTGTTCAGCTTTGCCCTCCAAGAAACCCATTTCTTTTTTTCCTTTCCTTTCCTTTCCTTTCCTTTCCTTTCCTTTCCTTTCCTTTCCTTTCCTTTCCTTTCCTTTCCTCTCTCTCTCTCTCTCTCTCTCTCTCTCTCTCTCTCTCTCTCTCTCTCTCTCCCCCTTCCCTCCCTTCTCTCCTTCCTTCCTTTATTTCTCTCCTTCCCCTCTTCTTTTTGAGATAGGGTCTCTCTATGTAGGTTGTTCTGGAACTAGCTATGTAGACCAAACTGGACTCAAACTCATATTCTCCTGCCTCTTCCTCCCAAGTGCTGGGATTAAAGTTGCATTTCACTACGCTCAGCTTGAGACCTATTTCTTAGGGCAGAACCTTCAAACCCCCCCACCCCCACTCCCCCACCCTCACCCCCGCCATGCAGAATTCTGAGAAGAGGCTTAGATCAGGAGACCCAGAACAGGCAGTTGACAGACATGAGGTTGCCTAGTGTTGCTGCACACAGGGACAGAAAGCGACAGTGCTTAGACCCAGGAAGTCACTCCCTACTGTTCACACTGACTCATGAGGCCCCTCTACTACACTCTGCTCACCTCACCAGGGATCTGGCCCAAGCCCAAGGAGAGGACTTCTGGCGCAGCCCTGCTAAGAGCTGGGTTTCCTGGCAGCCAAGCACAGTGGGCAGGTCTGACCTGTGCAATATGATCTGTGGTTACAGCCTGGGGCCAGGGCTGGTTGCAAAAGGGGCCGGTACTCCTGACACAGTCTGCTCTCGGTCTCACGGTCTCACTTGTAAGCTGGTTCCCAGGAGACTGGAGAGACCAGGGAGGGTGCGTCACCTCTGCTCTGGCATCATTCCGCTCTTATGCAGCAGCCAGGGCACAGCTCCTTCGGATGTCCACGCACTCAGATTCACACCAATCCAGGCTGAGCAAGAACATCCAGCACAAAGACCTCACAGAAGTCAACACAGATAGAACTGAGCTCAGGCACAGAGACGACAGGCCCCAGGAAAGCAGCCAACACAGATGTTTAGAAAGGAGCACAAAGACCCTCACGCTTTCCCAGCCTCAGATGAAATTCTACACAGCACACACTCTTGAGGACAGACCTGATGCAAACACAGACATACGTACACTTTAGGTAAAGATGGCCACCTAGGGTTGGAGAGATGGCTTACCTGATGAGATCATTGGCTGATTTTCAGAGGGTCCTAGCACCACACAGCAGCTCATAGCCATCAACTCCAGTTCTGACATCTTCTTCTGGCCTTGGAGGGCACCAGGCACATCAGATATGCATGCAGAGACAAAATACCCATACATATAAAATAAGTTAAAAAGATGACCATCCACACTTACATAGATATTCGTATATGTATTTTGTTGTTGTTGTTTTTTTCTCTTTTGTTTTTCAAGACAGAGTTCCACCGAGTAGTTTTAGTGCCTGTCCTGGATCTCGATCTGTAGACCAGGCTGGCCTTGAACTCACAGAGATCCACCTGGCTCTGCCTCCCAGGTGCTGGGATTAGTGTGCGCCACCACTGCCCAGCAATATTCGTATACATGATTACTCAGACTTTTTCACTGAAAAAATGTCAAATACACAGCACAAAAGTCAGCCACACAGAGTAAGGTACATATGTGAAACTGTATACACACTGTTGTCATTTAGTATTTATTGAGTACTCCTGATCCATTACTCAACCTCCAACAGAGATAACCTCCCTCCCCCAATCACACATATAAACTCAAGCTTCCTCAGGACTCACTTATGATCCACTGGGGCCCAATCACCAAGCCAAAGATGGAGGGCATGTTTTCTTCTGTCAAGGATGCGTGGCCTCTCGCCCTAAAACAAAACAAAACAAAACAAACAAACAAAAAGCCCAGCAGAGCTGTACTATCACTTATACTAGTTGAGGAAGGCAACCTAGCTAGGAATCTAGCCGAGGATGTCGAAGTCAGGGTCACATGAAGTTCAGAAGACACCTGCTGCCTACAGTTGGCTGTCTTCTTCCGTGTGGGTCCTGGAGACTGAACAAGAGCCTGTCCTAAAAGTAAAAAGGAGGAGAAAAGGGGCAGTGTGTGGGAAGGTAGGTGGGAATCCGTAGCTCAGTGGTAGATCACATGTCACACACACACACACACACACACACACACACACACACACACACACACACACACACAAGATCCTAGGTTCAGTCCTAGGTACAGCCAAGGAAGGAAGGGAGAGATGGCGGAACTAATTTACTTACGCTCTGGAGACAGAAGAGGCTCTCATATTCCAGGCCAACCTGGGCTGTATAATGAGAATAAATAGTAAACAGTAAGTAAATAGGTAAACAAATAAATGCCTGGAATGTAACTCGGTAGGCAGAGAGAGTGCTTCCTTGGCACACACCAGACAGTGGGTTTGAACTCCAGTACTACACAAACTGGATGTGGCATTGAATCCCTGTAATCTTAGCACTTGAGAGGTGGGGGTAGAAGTATCAGAAGTTCAAGGTCAATCTAATCTACTATAGCAAGTTCAAGGACAGCCTGGGCTACACAATACCCTGTTTCAAAAAAATAAAGATGGGGCCCCTCCTGGCTGGGACTCAGGTCAATCCTTGCTCAGCCATCATCAGAGAAGCTTCCTCCTGCAGCAGATGGGAGCTAACACAGTGACCCATAACAGGGCAATGTGCATGAATGAGCGACCTAAAACCCATGTTTTCATTAAACCCTTCTCCTCAGGACTCAGGCAGCTATGAGGAAGAGGAGGCAGAATGACTGTAAGAGCCAGTGGGGATGGACGACACAAGGAAGCAGTGTTCTCCAGACACAACAGGACTGACACACACGAACTCACAGAGACTGTGGCAGAACTCACAGCGCCGCACAGGTCCAAGCCAGGTGGGGCTCCAGTGCTGAGGAGGGAGAATTGGCCAAGAAGCTATCTCCAACTGACATCCGCTTACAAAGGAAAAATTCGTTTTCTCCTATGGAGTCTCCCTGTTAACCACACTTTAGGGCAAGCCCCTTGCCCAGCAGTGGATGGCCAACACAAAGCAAACTCAATTCTATTTTTGTAGACTTTTGGTCTCCTATTGCCTTGTTTGGGCATTTTTTGTCTTACTGGTCTTTTGCTTAGATATTACAGTTACTGATTTTGTGGTTTTATGGGTTTTGTTTTTGTGTATATATGTGTACCTTGTGTTTTTCTTTTTTGTTGTTGTTGTTTGCCTGTTTGTTTTCTAAAGAAAGGGAGAAAGGGCATGGAGTCGGGTGGGTGGGGAAGAGCTGGGAGGCGTTGGGGGAGGGGAAACTGTGATCAGAATATATTGAATTTTATTTTCAATAAAAAAAATAAAGATGGTGTTCCTTACAGCAATACACATGCTTTAACATTGGAACGATATAATACAGAGATTAGCATGGTCCTTGTGCGAAGATGACATGCAAATCTGTGAAACATTCCTTATTTAAAAAAAATAAGGAAGTCTGGAAGTGGTGGCACATGCCTTTAATCCCAGCATTTGGGAGGCAGAGGCAGGCAGATTTCTGTGAGTTCGAGGCCAGCCTGGGCTACAAAGTAAATTTTAGGACACAGAGAAACCTTGTCTCAAAAAACAAAAACAAACAAACAAACAAGCAAACACAATAAGGGCTGGCTCTGTTGTACACAGACAGGTTCAGCTGCTCTAAGTCCAGATCCAGAGGGAGCAAACGCCTCTAGCTTCCAAGGCTGTACTAATGTGCACATACCCAACACACACACACACACCCACACACACACACACACACACACACACACACACACTCACACACACTCACACACAGTCACACATACATATTCACTCACACACTCACACATACATACACACACACACACATACACAGTCACACATACATACACACTCACACATACATACACACACACACACATACACACACAGTCACACATACATACACACTCACACATACATACACACACACACATACACACACAGTCACACATACATACACACTCACACATACATACACACACACACATACACACACAGTCACACATACATACTCACACACACACATACATACACACACACACATGCACACACACACACTCACACATACACATACACACACACACACACACACACACACACAGAGGAAAATAGAAGAGGAGCCCAGTAGGAGCAGGAGAGGGACAGAAAGGGTAACTGTATTTGTGTGTGTGTTAAATACAGTAAAAACCCATTGTGTACATGTATGAAAATGTCATAATGAGCTGGGCGGTGGTAGCACATGTCTTTAATCACAGCACTTGGGAGGCAAAAGCAGGTGAATTTGAATTCGAGGCCTGCCTGGCCTACAGAGTGAGTTCCAGGACAGTCAAGGTTACAGAGCGAGAAAGAGAGACCCTGTCTTGTAAAACAAACAAACAAAAAACACAAAACAAACAAAAAGTCACAATGAAACCAATTATTATGCATAGTTAATACATGCTGACAAGAACATTAAAAATTAAAATAAATAAGCAAATACAATGAAAAATAGAAAAATGAATCTGTGAGACTCTATCTCAAAACTACATTGATTTGGAGATTCCGTTTACATATACATATATGTATATGTAATGGATATATATACACACATTTGTATGTAGCACATAATTTTATCCAAGTAATAATAAATATTCCTGTATGTGTAGATTCCTGTAGAGTGAGTGTTTGCCTATGTTAAGCAAAGCCCTGGTTTTTATCCTCAAGACTGAAAAAACAACAATAACAACAAAACTGTCCCAGGAAGTAGAGAAAGGCCACACTACCTAAAGAGGCAGGATGAGAGAGCTAGAGGGATTTGGCACTGGAAATTCTTCTCCTGCACAATCCTGGCCCGATCCTCAGCTTCTGGCTCTCAGTGACACAAACCTGAAGCTGAACGTAATCCTGATGAGTCTAAACAGTTAAGGGACAATGGTCCACGCTGCCCAAGCCCACAGGGTTAAGTGGGTTCTCCTTGGTGAATCTGGGAGTCTCTTCTGTGTATCTTCCATGTGCTGAGCCACAGTGAAGACACTCAGTCATCCCAGCACCTTCTGGAGGAGGGAGGAGCTGGAAGCCGGCTAGAGGAGAAACGGGATATCTGGGAGGGGGCAGGGGACAGTTTCTAGACTAGATCTTGCAAATTGCAAGCCAAACCTTGGAGTCAAAAGCAGGAGATAGTTGGGGATCACTGAAACAAACTGTTGTGGTTCAGACTGCTGTTAGATTTGGGGAGGCCTTAAAGGCCCGAGTGAAGAGCTGGGAGTTCTGAAGACAGTAAGAGCTGATTTCAGTGTTGGGCCATGGAGGAGCCAGGGGGAAGCCTCAGGGACGAGGAGTGAGTCAACAGAGATCCTGACCAGGTTCAGTGACTGTCCCGAGAGGAAGCGTGAGGACAGAGGCTGCAGCCCCAGTGACTCAGAGCTGCTGGTACCGTGAGAGAAACCAGAAATTGTGTGTGGGATGGCGGAGCCTCAATCAGGCTTCTGTGCCCCACAGTCCCAAGGCCCCTTGGAATTGTCTGAAGATCAATCAAGAGTCCTGGGCACTTCAGTTTACAAATACGGAAACTGAGGAACAAAGAGGGAAATGAGCTGGGTGGGAGGGCACACTTTTAATCCCGGCACTTGGGAAACAGAGGCAGGTGGATCTTTTTGAGTTCCAGGCTAGCCAAGGCTATGAAGTGAGATCTGGTCTAAAAAAAAAAGAAAGAAAAAAGAAATTATTTGCCTGTGGTGATGGGTGTCAGGACTTGAACTTTAGAACTTGAACCTGGGTCTCTCTCTGTCCTAGAAGGAGCATGCCAGGTTAGGTTAGGTGACAGCTGGCTATGAGCGTATCTGTCATAATGCAGCTCATCGCCTCCACCTAAGGAGATAAGGAAACAAAAGAAAGGGACTGATGCTCTGGTGGATAGGAAGCAGCCTTGGCGAAAAAGAAACCTGGGGTTACCTAAGATTTCACTGGGCTAGTATTTCTGTCCCTCAGTGTTGCTTACACACACACACACACACACACCTGTAGCTTCCTGGAAAGGGACCTGAGGCCCAGTGGATTGGGATGGGTATGGGTGCTCACCTGGCCCAGCAGGTGCCTAGTAGGTGTTATAGGTGTACCTCAGAAATACTTCTATAGAATGCCACCCATACACCTAACTCTACAGTGCTCCTCTAACCACTTGGTAATAATCTCACTTGGCATACTACCTTTTTGTCTCCAGACCGTGGTTTCCTTAAAGCAGAATAAGTTTTGTTTTCCCCCAAAATGCTCTTTAAAGTTCCTCCTAGTTCCAGTCCTTGGATTCCTATTCCCCTCCAAGCCGTCTGCCAGTGAACCCTCATGGACAAAGGATTCTGGGACCAAACCTCCATTTACATTGTCCACAGCCAGCATCCTGACCCACAATAAATCTTCATGTGTCAAGGCTGAAGACTGGTCCAACCAACCCAAGGCTACAAGCTTTGGCCCGTGGTTGAGGTTTAAAGCTGTATAGGTTGTCCTTGGTTTTTAAAGCTGGGGTGACATTCCCTAGCCAGACCCTGGGTCCTGAAAACTGTTCAGAGGCTGGGAAGATGGGCTTGAGAATGTCCTAGAGCCCCAGTGCTGAGCATCGTACTCTAGAAAGGAGGGGGAGAAGGGAGGGCCCCACCTACCTGGTGAGGTCATGGGAAAGCAGCTCTGGCGCTGACACCTGGGGAAACCCGTTTCCAGGCTGCTTCCCACGCTAGCTCTCCTGGGAACCAACTAAGCCAAGCCCCAAGCAGAGAGCCCCACACCTGTTCCCCCTAGTCCAGTTCCCATCACACTGGCCCATCTGACCCAGCCCCCACCCTTCAACGGAGCCTCAGCTCCCAATCCATCTACCCAGGCTGTTGGGCCTTAGAAAGGTCACGAAGGGGCATTGGACTGAGCGGTCCAGGAAACCACAGACAGCAGCTTCAGAAACACAAGGTTTTATTTGCAGACTGCATTGCTCACCTTCCAAGTCATGACCTTGGGGAAAGGGATGACCCTACCCCTTCCTCTCAGGCTCTCATTTGCAGCTCCTCCCCCTCCCTTTGCTGGGCCTGGACTCTCACTTCCTGCCCCTCCGCTGGCCCAGCCAGTTTGGGCAGTGCCTAGGGAGCCCTGAGACCCAGTTCTTCCCAGGGAGCAGCCCCAGCCTCCCTGGCCTTGGGGCTTGAGGGCAGCCCAGGTGTCAGCCTTCTCCACAGCTGTCCACCCTGCTCTCCTTCCCCCTCCAGCCCAGTCCTCTCATCTGCCTCCAGTCCACCACATCAAGTCTCACTTCCTGTTTCCCGTCTCAATCTCTCACTGGCCTCTTCTTCATACTCCATCTCAAACTGCTCCAAATCAAGGCTGACCACCTTCCAACCCTCCGAGACGCCTCACTGTTTCCCCTGCTTTATCACACCCGCGCTAGGAGAGGGTGAGGCCACCCACAATGGGCTGCATTCAACCAAGCTGACCTGTGGCCCCACGGTAAGAAACTGGGAATTACATCCCAAGCTGCTCAGACACACTGACACTGATGCGATTATCCCATGAAATTCCAAGTGCTGGGATTTTCCTGTGAGTCTTGACCAAAGAAATCCAAATCAGAGCCAGCCCCTTGCACAGGACAGAGCTCCCCCTGTCTTACCAGCGTGTGCAGCTAGAGGCCCATATCCCCTGCGTTCAATAGAGAACTGAGTCCCAGGAGCTGGCCAGGCCCTGCTAGTACCCCATGTCCCAGGGTCCAGAAGTCTCCGGCCGCCTGCCTACCGCTTGCACTGCTATAACTGCTCAAACAAAGCAGAAGAACTTCTTCCAGCGGCAGCGGGAGAGCGTGCGCACACCTTTTGCGTTCAGTTTCTTCTCTAGGCGAGCTTTGTGCTCAATGGCGCTGAGAATGGCCGAGTCAAACACCTCCTTCAAGTTCTTCTGCGTCAAGGCTGAGCACTCAAGGTAGCAGCAGGCCCGGATCTTCTCGGCCAGACCCTGGGCTTGAGGTTGGGGTACTGGACCCTCCCGACCTCCCTGGTCCAGCTGAATTAGTACATTGACATCGTCCCTCAGGTCAGCCTGAGTGCCCACCAGCAACACAGGTGCTTGGGGGTTGTGAGTGCGGATCTCCGGCAGCCATTTTTCTGTGATGTTTTGGAAGGAGCTGGGCTGCACCACGCTGAAGCAAGCCAGAAAGACATCAGTATCCGGGTAGCAGAGGGAGCGAAGCCGGTCAAAGTCCTCCTGGGGTAGCAATGCCAGTTGTTAGCAAGATCATTCCCTTCACATTGGAACCAGAGTCTGCTTTCTCACTTGGGGGTGGAGACCTAAGACTCCCAAAGCCCAAGGCCTACTCCATTCCTACTCCATGAAGGAATCCTCTCGGCCTCCAACCCTCTCCAACCCCTAGCCCATCGAAGCCTACATCCAGATTCTCACCTGCCCTGCAGTGTCCCA